TTGTAATATTTGTTCTAGGCTGTGAAGTATACCATTGATATCTTCATAGGTATTGCATTGAATTTGTACATTGCTTAGGGTAGTATGTACATTTTATTGATGTTAATTCTTTCTAACCATGAACATGGTATATGCTTTAAGTTATTTGTGTATCCTTCCATTTCTTTCTTTAGTGTCTTATACTTTGGAGGGTACAGGTCTTTTATATCTTTGGTTAAATTTATTCCAAGGTATTTTATTTTTTTAATGTAGTTGTGAATGAGATTTTCTTAGTTTCTCTTTCTGATGGTTCATTATTGGTGTATAAAAATGCAACTCATTTCTGAATATTTATTTTGTATCCTGTTTTATTACTGAATTCATTCATCAGTTCTAGTAGTTCTTTTGGTCGAATCTTTATTGTCCTCTATGTACAGTATCATGTTATCTGCAAATAATGACAATTTTGTTTCTTCCTATCCAGTTCAGATGCTTTTTATTTCTTCTTCTTGTCTGATTGCTGTGGCTAGAACTTCCAGTACTATGTTGAATAAAAATGATAAAAGTCCATGTCCCTGTCTCATTCCTTATCTTAAGGGAAACACTTTTAGTTTTTGCCCACTGAGTATGCTGTTGGCTGTGGGTTTGTCACAATGGCCTTTATTATGTTTGGATATGTTCCCCCTCTTCCTCTTTTGCTGAGAACTTTTGTCATAAATAGGTGCTGGATTTTATTAAATGCTTTTTCTGTATCTATTGATATAATCATGTGGTTTTTATTCATTTTGTTTATGTGGTGTATCACATGTATTGATTTGTGATTATTGTACCAGCCTTGCATCCCTGGAATAAATCCCACTTGATCATAGTGTATGATCTTTTTAATGTATGCTGGATCTGGTTTGCTAATACTTAGGTGAGGATTTTAGCATCTATGTTCATGAGGGATATTGCCCTTTAATTTTTTTTATAGTGTCATTATCTGGTTTTAAAATTAGGATAATGCTACTTGTAAAATGAGCCTGTGAGTCTTCCTTCTCTTGAAATTTTTGGAATAGTGTGAGAAGGATAGGCATTAGTTCTTCTTTGAATGTTTGATAAAATTCACATGTGAAGCCATCTGGTCCAGGACGTTCATTTGTTGGGAATTTTTTTATTACTACCTCAATTTCCTTAGTTGTCATTGGTCTATTTTCTGATTCTTCCTGATTCAGTTTTGGATGATTATATGTTTGTAGAAATTTATCAGTTTTGTCCAGGTTGTCATATTTGTTGGCATATAGTTGTTTGTAATATTTTCATAAGATTTTTTGTATTTCTGTGGTGTCAGTTGTTCTCTTCTTACATTTCTGATTTTATTTATTTGGGTCTTCTTTTTTTCTTGATAAGTCTGGTTAAAGGTTTGTCCATCTTGTTTATCTCTTCAAAGAAGCAGCTTTTGATTTCATTGACCTTTTGTTGTTGTTTTTTTTTTTGACTCTATATCATTTATTTCTACTCTGATCTTTATTACTTACTTTGGGCTTTGTTGTTCTTTTGTAGATCCTATAAGTGTAAAGTTAGATCAAGTCTGAGATATTTTTCTTGTTTCTTGAGGTAGTCCTCAAATGCTATGAATTTCCCTCTTAGGAGTGCTTCATCTGTGTCCCATAAATTTTGGGTTGTTATGTGTTCATTTTTGTTTGTTTCAAGGTGCTTTTGATTTCTTCCTTGATCTTATTGTTAACCCATTCATTGTTTAGTAACATGTTATTTAGCCTGCATGTCTTTGTGTGTTTTTCAGTTTTTTTCATTGTAATCAATTTCTAGTTTCACACCATTATGGTCAGAAAAGATGCTTGATATGATTTCAGTCTTCCGAAATTTGTTGAGTCTTGTTTTATGTCCTAACATGTGGTCTGTTCTAGGAAATGTTTCATGTGCACTTGAAAAGAATGTATGTTCTGTTGCTTTCAGGTGAAATGTTTTGAATGTATCAGTTAAATCTATCTGATCTAGTGTCTCATTTAAGGCCTCTATTTCTTTGTTGATTTTCTGCCTAGATCTAGCCATTGATTTCAATAGGGTGTTAAAATCCCTGACTATAACTACTATTGTCAGTGTCTCCTTTTCTGTCCATCAATATTTGCTTTATATATTTAGGTGCTCCTGTGTTGAGTGCTCCTATGTTGGGTGCATAAATATTTACAAGGATTATATCCTCTTGTTCAATTTATCCCTTTAGCATTACATATTAGCCTTCTTTGTCTCTTGTTATGACCTTTGTTTTGAAGTGTATTTTTTTCTGATAAAAGTATTGCTACCCCAGCTTTTTTTTCATTTGCATTTGCATGACATATCTTTTTCCATTTCTTTTTTTAATAGCTATTTTTATTTTTTTAAAGATTTTGTTAATTTATTTTTAGATGGGGGGGGCAGGGAGAAAGAGAGGGAGAGAAAGATCTATGTGTGGTCACCTCTTTAGCTCCCCCGCTAGGAATCTGGCCAGCAACCCAGGCATGTGCCCTGACTGGGAATCAAACCAGCAACCCTCAGTGCTCAATCCACTGAGCCACACCAGCCAGGGCTCTTTTTCCATTTCTTTACTCTTAGCTGGTATGTTTCATTCTGGGGTGGGCCTCTTACAGAGAGGATATATATGGATCTTGTTTTCTTATCCATTCTGCTACCTTATATCTTTTTTTATTCTTTAATTTTTCAATTACAGTTGACATACAATATTTTATTAGTTTCATGTGTACTCTCCAGTGATTAGATATTATGTAACTTACTAAGTTATCATTTTGAGAAATCTTGTACCTATCTGACACTATACATAGTTATCAGAATATTAACTGTATTTCCTAGGATATACTTTACATCCTGTGACTGTTTTGTAACTACCAACTTGTACTTCTTAATCTTCTCACCCATCTCCTCAACCCTGTTCTCATCTGGCAACTGTCAAATGTTCTCTCTAACTATGAATCTGTTTCTGTTCTGTCTGTTCATTTATTTTTATTTTAGATTCAATTGTTGATCAATTACGTATTTATTGCTATCTAATGTTCATATTTTAAATCTTTTTTTCTTTTTTGGTTTTTACATTTATTACTCATTTTATAAACCACACATATTCTTTTAAACAAGATAGGAAAATCATTTTAAATTTTTATAAAATACCTAATAGGGATAAAAAATTTAAATGCCATTAGTAATACATAGTAAAATAATTAAGCAATTCTTTTATGAAGTCTTTCATTATTTATCTTAATTCTGGCAATGGAATCTGAATATTTGTCATAATTTTGCCAATTTTTGTATCTGTAGCATGTATCTAAAGCAGTAAGTTTACTTGATTTTAACCTTTGAAGCATAGCAGGCTTCATGATACAGAGATAGAAAAATAATCAAAAGATAGTTAATATGGTCAATTTTGTTATATTTTACCACAGTAAAAAATAACCCCAAAAACTGAAGTAATAGACAAAAATCTTTGTACAGCTAAATCGGATTCCTCTTTAGTATTAGTTATAGGATACCTGTAATTCAGGCTGAGTTAGAATAGCATACATGCCATTTTAGAAATGAAAAACCTGTTCCTTAATAGGTTTAAGAATATATAAGGAAATATGGTGGTAGCATTTTAAAAAGGGTAACCACACTGGACATCTTTATGTAGTGTGACATTCTTAAATTCAGTATCAATGTATCTTTTCTGGAATGTTTCCATTTCATGGGTCTTTTTGTTTTTCTGTTTGAAAAAGAGTAGAAAAACTAGTTAGAGCGATGCTGAAAGAAGTTTAAAATTTGTTTTGCATTTGTTGTATTCCATTCTTATTCACACAGATACATACTTTTCAAAATGTTTTTTCCTACTTCTTGAAAATCCAAAGCTTCTTTGAGTGAAATGTTTTCTCCTACTTCTTGAAAATCCAAGGCTTCTTTGTGTGTAGTGTAGCTTGCTCCAGAAACACCAGTACCTACTTCCTGGTTTTCTGGCTGTTGATTTGCACAATGCTTCAACCCCCAGTAACACATTTCTCCACTGTACATCATAGCCGGCAAATGAATGTCACCAAATATTCCTTTTCTCAGTAACTTAGCTGTGTCTAGGTCTTGGAAAGAAACTCCTTCATTTAATTGGATAGGGCACTGATAATTTCGCATCTGTAGCAAGTAACTGATTCCATGAACAAGGTACTCTTTTAAGCAAACTAGATTTTCTCGTGAGGCACTCTCTCCTTTTGGTCAGAGAATGTCAGTACATATGAAGCAGGGCTTCTCGTTGCCAAGAGAGACATTCCAGGACTTAATCCCCAAGCAAATCACCTTCTATTACAACCAAAGCAAAAATCACTACTAAACTTATAAAACAACTATTATCTAGAATCATCAGAAAATCAAGCTGTATGGAAGTTCAGCAACCAAGGACTTAAAGAAGTCACATTCATCCAGAGGGGTAGGAGGGGCAGAAATGTGGAGACATGGAATGGGTGGTTCCTGCAACCACGTGTGGTGGATAAAAACCTGGAGGGATACTTGGAAGTGAGGGATCCCAGCCCCATACCAGGCCACCCAACCTAAGTTTCCAACGCCAAGAAGATGAGTTTCCATAACTTAGGACTGTGAAAACCAGTAGAGGTTAGGGTGGCAGAATAAACTGCAGGAGTCTCAGGATTCTCCTCTTAAAGTGCTCTTAATGGACTTAGTACTTAGGCAGACTCACTCCCTCTGGGCTCCAGCACCAGGGCAGCAGCTAGAAGGGCACCAGTGGCACATGGGGGAAAACTGAAGTGTCTGGCGTCAGGACGAGAACCTGCAATTTAGGTTCTCTATCCAGCAAAGCTATTATTTAGAATTGAAGGGCAAATAAACTGCTTCCCAGACAAGGTAACACTAAAGGAATTCATCATCACCAAGCCATTATTATATGAAATGTTAAAGGGACTTATCTAAGACAAAGAAGATCAAAACTATGAACATTAAAATGGCAGTAAAATCACAACTATGAAAAATTAAACTTAAAACACAAACTAAGCATACTTACCCTGGCAGGGCAGCTACCATGATCATGAAGGTGGTTTTCCCAGGGTGAAGCTTATCCATTGCACTCTAATGTGATGACTCCTGTGATTTCCCCAAATGTGGGAAACTTGACTGCATAATTTGTGGTAGCGGGGGACTGCATTCACACTCTCCTTGAAAAAAATTTTAAAAATAAAAATAAAAACAAACTAAGCAAACATGCAGAACAGAAACAAAATCATAGATAAGGAAATTATTTGGAGGGTTATTAGTTTGGAGGAAGGAAGGGGGCGAATAGGGGAAAAGGTACAGGGATTAAGAAGTACAAATTGGTAGGTACAGAATAGGTAGGGGGATGTTAAGAACAGTATAGGAAATGGAGTAGCCAAAGAACTTATATTTATGACCCATAGATATGAACTAATAAGGTAGGGGGACTGCCGGAGGGAATAGGGGGGGAGGTACGAGGTAGAGGGGAGAAAAGGGGGAAAAATTAGGACAACTAATACATAATCAATAAAATATTTTTAAAAAGCATAACCACAAAGTGGTTACAGAATTTAGAAATTTTCAACAAGTCGATCTTTTAATATATAATGAAAAAGAACTTCCCACTGATATGATTATAACATATATGTCATAAATCTCAGAAGGAATTTCTCATGATTAATTTGTTTTAATGAAGATATTTTTATAGTGTGACTTAGCTATGAATGCTCTTTGAACATTTTACTTGCTAAATATGCCTTTTTATAAGTTCCTTTGTTATTACATGATTCCATGAAGTTCTTCATGAAGTTTTAGAAATACATTTTTATAAATTATAAAATAAAAATTTTGTTTTATTTTCCAGGTTTTATTTACCTATATTATTTGCAGAAATACTTCTTTCACTGTGCAGCAGGGGTTGTACTTTGCTTTTGGCCCCTGCGAAGTATTTTGTAGAACCTTTTTGATCTTTTGTTTCTTACTTCTCCACCTCATTCCCCTTTCCTTTTTGTTTTGTTTTTTAAAGATTATATTTATTTATTTTTAGAGAGGGGAAAGCAGGGGAAAAGAGGTGGAGAGAAACATTAATGTGTGGTTTCTTCTTGTGTGCCCACTACTGGGAACCTGGCCCACAGCCCAGGCATGTACCCTAACTGGGAATCCAACCAGTGACCATTTGGTTCACAGGCTGGCACTCAATCTACTGAACCACACCAGCCAGAGCTCTTTTTGTGTTTTGTTCTCTGGTGGTAGAGGAAAATAAAGCAAGGTAACAATAGGTACAAAGAGACAATTTTGCTTATTAATATGTAGGTACTATTGAATACCTGAATCTAGGAAATTAATATGAGAAATACCTGGTCTATGAGCAACATGTTTTTATCCCTATTTAACTTTTCTGTTTATTCGTATCTAACAGAATCCAAATTTTTTATGGCAAATACTTTCTTTAGTAAGGTTTTAAGGACAGAATTCATGTTCCTTCATTTGTACTTTGTTTGTTACTCATCCTTTTCTCTCCTTTTTCTGCTGAGAACATAGTTTAACCAGTATTAGGTTATTTGATGAACTTTAAATTAAAATTGTTTTTTAATAGAGTTTTCTGTAGAAATATTTTCTTTTCCTGTATTTGCTTATTTCCTTTTTTATTTCCACAGAAAGGAAATGCTGTCTGAATAACTGTACAGTGGCCAAAAGAATTGGAAAAGGAAAAGATGCTACTATCATCTTTGAGCATTTCAGGAAACCTATAGATCCATTTGTTCAGGAAAATTGTTCATGCAGTGCACTAAGTTCAGAGATAAATTCTTCCAACTCAAATATTTCTAATTCCTATGAAAATGTGCAAAATGGAAACATTTCTGTAACTGAAACATACAGTGGACAGATGAAGCACAATTTAACACAATGTGGAGACACTTCTCAAGTACAAGCATATGATTCAAGTCTTCCATTTATTCCCAGTGATACCAAAGAAAACATTAATGGTGAATTGTTAAATTTGACACATCTTAAAAATGTTTTAAGTGATCTTCCTGCTACTTTTCCTTTTAATAACAATATTGGCTCAAGCACAGTTATTACTTCAAAATTCATCAAAGACCCAAGACTTATGAGGAGAGAAGAAAGCATGGACAAACATAATGATATTACAGATTTAAATAAGGTTTTGCCATTTAAAAAGAGTATAGATTTTGTTAATTCAGAAATTAACCTCACTGTGCCAGCTAATTCCGCCTCCTCATCTAAAGTCATGCCTGGTGATGATGCTATTCTTACTAATTGTTTGGATGCACCTTGTTTCAAAATTTCTTTTGATGAGGTACAAGCTCAGGCTCACAACATGGGCTCTAAGGACTGTGATTATACAACTCCCAATAAAATTACCATGGCAGGACAATGTCAGGACAAAGACAATTTTTCCTTCTCAATGTGTTTGTCAAATGGAGTTCCAGAAGTTGAGAACCAAAAACACAATGAGGAAAAGGCCCAGAGATCCCAACAGAGAAGTAACATTCCACTTTTAATTGAACAAAATAGTGAGCCACATAACTCTTATGAATCAGTGAATACTTGTACAAAAGGGTACAACAATCACATTTCTCAGGAATCACAGTTTTCTAATTTAAAAACTACATGTCAGACTGGTCACCAAATGTCTGCAGTTTTTCCATTCCAGAGGAAAGAAAGCATACATGAGTACATTCAAAACATTGGAAAAGTGAGAAACTTCACTGCCCTAGAACATGTAGCAAAGCAAAATTTGCGGGAAGAGATTGATAATTATTGTACTAATGAAACAAAAAGCAGTCCAATAGATAATATCCTTTCTTTGCGCCAGGAATACAAAGAGGATGAGAGTCTTGATTATTTTGGGAAAAAATGTGATCAAAAATTAATCACTCAAGAATTAGAAATATCAAAATCATCCACATCTACCACAAATGATAAGAATGAGCTAGATTATCTAGCATTGGAATTAGAAAATAATTTTACTCCAGGAGTGGAGAGCCTTTCACAAAAGCATCCTCAACGCTGTTTGGAGAATGAAGATAACATTCATAGAAGTTTTGCCATTTCTCAAAAACTAATGGAACTGAAATTGGAAAAAAGTCAAAACTGTGTTAGCATTATAACTGATGCTTTCCAGGAGGCAAAAGACATTCCCCAGGCCAAAGAACTGCCAATGGATATAATTATTTTATCTCATGACATTAAAGCAGCTCATGACAGTTCAAATTGCAGCATAGCTAGAGAACATATATGTATACATAGAAAAAATGAACATGATCCAATGTCATTAGAAAGGATTCAAAGAGACTGCAGAGAAACTTCTCAGGTTGACAGTAAAGGTAAAGATCATAGTCTGTTCTGTAATTCACAGTTGAATAACAATATACACCTCACTATTAATTTCAAAGAACAAAGAGATAATGATAAAGAAAACCAAAAGGAGGCTGAAGGGAAAGACATTGCTTCATCTACAGAAAATGACAAAGAAAATATATATGGAGACGAGAGGCAGGGTTTTCATACGAAGAAAAGGTTTACTATAGATGAAAGTTGGAGGAGTAAAAATTACAATAATGTAGAAATTCTGAGTTCTGAAGAATTTTCTACATTTAATTTGACTTGGGGGAAAAAATATGTATCAACAGGAAGTACATTATTAGAAAGTAAAGATACACAAAATGCCATAAGGAGTGTAAAGCATCCCAATATTTGGGAAGCCAAATATCCCAGAATTTTGGGTTCTTCAGCTCACGTAGCCTCAAATGCTATAGTACAGACAGACAGTACCGTGAGGCCCACATTGGAAACAAATTATGAAGATCACCAAAGATACAAGTTTAAACAAATCCATTCTTCTGAGAGTCCAGATTTGGAGTTGTTAGTAAAACGTAGGGTTTCTGATTATGAAATGGATATGGATAAAAACAAATTACACAGCTCATTTCATCAATCAGTAAGTGATAACACAGTTCTTCAAAGTACTGAATTGGAAAATGAAATTGAAATAGAATTAGAAGAGTGTGATGATGCTTTTCCATCTCAACAAGATGCTCATAGCCATGGAAATATACTGTATGAAGAATTTGAGGTGTTATATGAGGCTCTGAAGTCTCGTATTGATTGGGAACGTCTTTCGGGAAATAGTAATGGGGAGAAGGAAGTTTTGGGAAGCACCACAAGAAGGGAGCATAGTGATCAGCATTACTCTGCTTATTCCTCTGCACAAAAAAACAAAGCAGAGCTCTTCAACCCAATTTTACTACCAGATCTACAAATTAGAATTACTAATACAATTATGCCAGGATTCAGTTCCACTGTGAAGTCCTTTTCATTGAAAGATAATATTTGCAAGTACATGACTGAAGCCACAAAACCAGAAATAAGTGAGGAGGAGGCAGAGGGACAAGTTCCGGAATTTGAAATTTATTCCCAGTTTTATGGTGAAAATTCAGGTTACCCATTTGAAGATGAATTTGGTAATATAAACCAAGAATCAGGAGTAGCGAGTGAATCTGAAATCTCACTTTCTTTTGACTTTAGTGATAATACACCCATGAATCACATGTCTGAAGAACAAAGCAGTGGACCTTTGCTCACTGGACCTTCGAGTGTCACAACAATAAATAATGAAAGCAGATGTTCTCTTACAAAGTCAAAAACTCTTTGCAATGATACAAGAAGTAAAAAAGACATGGAACCAAGAATTGGCAAAAGAAAGCTACATATACCTTTTAGGGATGAGAGCATACCACATCATGAAATTTGTGAAAAGAAGAGGAGGCTAACCAATCAAGACTCATCTGAATGTTTTTCTTCATTATCTGAAGGACGAATTAAAACCTTCTCACAGTCAGAAAAACACATTAGAAGTGTGCTAGATATTCTAAATAGTGAAGTATCTTTATGCAAAAGCAAATGTCTTTCAAGAAAACTTGACAGTGCTCTTCTTTACTTAAAAAAAGCTCATAGGAGAGTTAACACATCTTTGGAACTCATAGCTAAAGTGGGAGAAACAAGGAAGGGTCCATTACCAAAGTCATATGAAATAATATGCAATAATTTCTGGGAAATTTGTGACCTTCAGGGTTATGGTTCTGTTTCTGAAAGAAGATATTATTCCACTAAGCATTTTTTTCCAAAAAGAAAATATGAAAAACCAGGAGAGAGAAGACCATT